CCCCACTTGCCGCCGGGCCTGCTGCTCCGACTGCACCTGCCGGGCCTCACGCAGCGCCCGCTCGCCAGCCTCGTACTTCTCGGAGGCCACCTGCAGGAGGCCGCCTGGGTCAGGGCTGGTGGGGGCGGTGGGGGCAGTGGAGGCCGGCACCTCACCCCCACGCCCCACCTTGCTCATGTTGTCCACCTCCTCTGCACGGAGCTTGACCCGCAGTGCAGCCGCGTTGACCTTCTCCTTCTCCAGCCGCAGCTCCTGCCATGCCCGCTCTATGGCCTCCCTCTCAGCTGCCAGCTGCTCCTGCTTGGCCTGGAGCTCACTGGCCCTGATCTTCAGCTCGGCCTGCTCCTGGACACAACAGAGCCTGTGCCGTGTTCTCCTCGGGGAAGAACCGGGCTCTGTTCAGGGTCCCAAGGCCCCTTCCTGCTACTTCTGCAGCTCTGCCCCACCTGCCTCCAGGAGGGCTGGGGAGGGCAAGGGGCTTCTAGGGTGGGTCAGGGAGGCCTGGGGCCAAGGTGGGGGACAGCCGTCACAAACTGTGGCACCTTTCTGAACCTGCTTCGTCCTTTCTGAAGTATCTGTCACAGGAATGTGATTAGGATGGAGCGAGAGGTCTGTGCAAAGCGCCTGGGCCCTCTGGTAGGGTGACGTGGCCTTGGTTCTGCCCTGTCCTCTAACTATCATGGCCACCCTCGTTTCCTGCTGCTGGAAGCAGCTGCATCTAATTAGATGGAAGTGCTGGGGTATCCCAGCCCTCACCTCCCAGCCTGCTGTCCTGGAGGCTCTGGGCCCTACCTTGGCCAGGCTGACGAGGGTGCCCTCCCGCTGAGTGTCCACCTGCAGTGCCCGCTCCGCCTCGCGCTCGGCCCGCTCCTTGCTCAACCTCTGCTGTGCGGAGAACTCAGCCCACTCGGCTGCCAGGCGCCGGCGCTCCTCCCCACACTTGTGCATGACGGACTTCTGCTCTTCCAGCAAGGCGCTCTGGGAGTGGGCGTGAGGACCGGATGAGCCTCCCAGCACGATGGCGGTCAGCAGCTAGGCGCGGTCCCAGACTCACCTTGGCCCTCTCCAGCTCTTCCCTTTCCATGGCGATCTGCTGGGTCATGACCCTCCTCTGCTCCTCTAGGGCACGCTGTGAGGCCTCCGCCTTGGACTGCTCTGCAGTCACACGCCAGCGTTCCTGCAGGGCCCAGGCAGGGCTCAGAGTGTGTCCCCAGTCCCAGGAGCTGTGCTGAACCACGTGAGTCCCCAATACCTCCCCGAAGAGTGGAATAGGAGGGCTGCTGGGAGGGACAGCTCGCCAAGGCCCTGGAATTCTGCCAGCCCAGCCCACAGGAATAGTGATGACGATGAGCCGGACACAGCCATGGCACTGCCCGCCCCTGCCCGTCAGCCATGAGGCAAAGGGCACAGTGTGGTGCTCGGTGCTGTGCGGGGACCCGGCTGCGCAGCCATGAGGGCAGCAGCTTAACCGTGTCTGGCCAGAAGGTGCCTGCACTGTGTGTTCTGCCCTTAGTGGGGCTCTCTGCCTAGTGGGTAATTTTCACTTCCTTTATTGCTTTCTGTATTTTACTTTTTTTCCAATAAAATGTATTGTTATAACCTATAAAAAGGAAGGCTTTCTGCTTGTCTGCTTTAATTTGCTGGAGGATGCGTGTGCTCGCTGAAGACAGAGAGAGAGATGAGAGAGCAACTCCGGGGGGCAGCCACGTCGCACACTCTTCTCCATTCTCTCTCAGGGTCTTGGGCATGCACGCACATGTGTCTGGTGTGTTCTTCAAGCTGCTAGGTCTGGGACTCGAACTGCATGGTCAGCCATGTGAGATCCAGCCACCTTAATGACCATACCACCAGCTAGCCCAAAAAAGGGTTTGTTTTTAAAATGTATTTCTTAAAGAATTATTTAATTATCATTTCTTTTTTCAATTACTTATTTAATTCCATTTGTTACTATTTTTAATTTGACCAGAGAGAGAGAAATAAAGGGAAAGGGAGAAAGCAAGCCACAAGGCCCAGGACTTGAACCACAGTCAGCCATGTGGGAATCCAGCACCCTTAATCACCAAGCCACCTGTTGTGCACCCCCCCAGCCCCCATTTTCTTAAGAAAGGTTTTTGCAATAGGGCATATGTACTTGCCAGAGAGACATAGAAAGACAGCAAGTGAGAAATGGGGATGGCCACACTGTAATCCCTTCTTGTCTTGGGATTTTGGTTATACATGCACACACACCTGGCATGAGTTTTAAGCCACCGGGTCCAGGATTCTAATGGCAGTTGACTTCAGGGGAGTCTTGTGACATAACCATTACGCCATTTGCTGGTCCTATTATCATTTCTTAAAATTTGCTATAGGTCTTGGGACCAAGAGATGGTGTAATGGCTACATCGCTGGACTCCCACGAGGTCAACCGTGGTTCGGACCCGGTGGCTTAAATTCACACCAGGCACATGTGTGTGCATGCCCAAGATCCCGAGAGGAGAGTGGAGGAGAGGAGACTGTGGCGTGGTCATCCCTGCTTACGGGTGATTTCTCACTGTCTCTCTTTCTGGTGAGCGTATGTGCCCTATAGCAAAAACCTCTCCCAAAAAAAGGTTTTTGTTGTTACAGGTCTCATGTGCTCATGAGAGAGAGAGAGAGAGAGAGAGAGAAAGTGAGAAAGCAAGCTGCCAGGTCCAGGACTCGAACCATGGTTGGCCATGTGGGAAGTCCCAGTGCCTCAACCACCATGCCATCTACTGACCCCAGGTTATTTTAAAAGAATCAGGCTTGCTTTTCATATATGAAAGATACGTAAGGGGTTCAAAAGCCTGTCACAGCTGAGGAGGCCGGGATGACCTTGAGTGGGCAAGAGTGCCTGTCCAAGGCCATGGGCATCCCTGCGGTGACAGATCTGTGGCTGGAAGGAAAGCGCGAGTGCAGCCGATGGCCGGGGCAGATGGCCAAGGCACTTGCAGTGTGAGGGAGCATGAAGGGTGCAGGTGGGACCTGGTCAGGCGGCCCCTGCGAGCTCAGGTGGGCAGCAGTGAGGGCTGGGTGGGGGCTGAGCGGACACAAAGGCAGGAAGGTGCGGGAGCCCGAGCCTTGGTGACTGGCTGGGAAAGTACAGCCGTAGGCCAGCTGACTCCCTGCAGCGTCTGACGGAGAGGCCCCGAGGGGGTGAGGCCTCACCTGCTCCAGGAGCCGGCTCTGCTCGCCCAGGCGTGCCTCCATCTTCCCAATGACCTCCTGGAGTCGGCTCCGCTCCTCCTCCATGTCCCGCTGCTGCCGGCTCAGCCGCTCCTGCAGAGCTGGGGGTGGCCCTCGGGCTGCTCAGTGTCTGCCCACATCCCACCACCAGGTTAGCAAGAGGGAGAGGAGGGGGCACCGGGGGAGAGGAGGGGGCACCTCGCAGCTGCTCGTCCTGCTGCCGGACCCCCAGCTCGCGCTCGTGGGAGGTGGTGAGGTGCGAGGCCTCCACGCGGGACGACAGCTCGCTCAGGCTGCTGGAGAACTTCTCCATCTGACTGATGATGCTGTTCAGGGACCTGGAGGAGGACAGGGCCACTCCGTCCCGGGGCCCGGCCCAGCCCTGCGCCCCCCCTCCCCCCGCCCCGGCAGGCAGAGCCTGGGCAGCGCATACCGCGTGTGGGAGGTGGCACTGGTGACGGCGTCGATCTCCCGGTCCTTGAGCAGCTTCAGCCGCTGTAGCTGCTCCTCGTGGTCCTTGCGCATGTCCAGGATGGACGCCCTGGGAGGGGTAGCAGGGGTGGGGAAGCAAGAACCACTCTGAGCAGGACCACGTGGACAGTACAGTGGACGCCGTGGCAGTTCCTCGTGGAAACAAGGGTGCCTCTGGGGCCTCTCTGCCTCCTCCATCACAGACTGCCTGTTTCCCCAGCTCCTCTGTCAGCTCTCCGTGCTCAACACTAAATGCACGAATGCGGCCGCCAACTGGAGTGGCCCCACAGGCCTGCCCTGCCCTCGGCGATCTCCGCCTCCCTGGGGTGCCTTTTCTTAGTTTGTTCTCGTCTAGAAAGGCCAAACACGCGGGCACACCAGGCACAGCTTTCCTGGGGCCAGCTAGCCACCACCCTCACTGGGTTGGCAGCGAGTGGGTCAGCCTCAGTGCTCACCGCCGCTGTGCCCTGCCTGCCTGGCGTGTGACCTCTCTGGGCTCTGTAAGGGCAGGCAGCACCTAGCCCTTGGGGGCTGTCGGGTCACTGTTCGCTCGTCACCCCAGTGAGCTGGAAGGGAAGGGCTTGAGCCCCCACCCAAAGGCTGACGAGCCACAGCTGGGTCCTGTGGGCTCTCGCTGCTCTGGCCAATCCTCGCAGGCCGGCTCCCACCGGGCTGCCCTGGGCCTGGCCCTTACCGCTGCAGCTCTCGGAGCCGCTCCATCTCCTGATCCTTTTCTTGCGCAGCGGCTGCCAAACGGCGCTGGTGCTGGGCCGTGAGCTCGGCGCGGGCCTGCTCAGCCTCCTGGCAATGCGACAGGTACCGCGCTGACAGCTCCTCGTTCTCTCTGCGGAGCCGCTCCTCTCGCTGCTGGTAGGACGCCTCTAGCACCTTGACGCGGCTTCTGCCAACCAAACACCCAGCTGTGGTGCTGGGCGGGCAGGGGGCCGCCACCTAAAGGGCCTCTCAAGTGCATCGGCCTGGCCTTCGGGGTGAGTGTGGAGACCTGAGCGGGGTGGGACAGGAGGTGAGCCGGGCAGCTCGGGTGGCGGCAGGAGCTGTGGTACCTGTGTGCGCTCTCGATGAGCTCCAGGTCCGCCTGGTGCCGCTGCTGCAAGCTCTCCAGCAGCAGCTGGCGCTGGGCCCGCTCCAGCTCCAGCTTCCGCACCTGGCGACAATGGGAGGCCAACGCAGACATGGAGGGGGCCAGGGGACTTTGTGCTCACAGCCTCACCTGGGAGGGGGAACCTCCTGCCATGCACAGCAACGCCCTCCCGTGGCAACCCTGCCCCCACCTGGGCCTCCAGTTCTGCCAGCCGGGCCTGGCTCTGCAGCAGCTCGGCCTGGAGCTCGGCAGTGTCACTCTGAACCTGCGCTTGTGCTGCCAGGAGCTGCTTCTGGTATCCTGTGCCCGGCAGCAGGCTCCGTGCAAGAGACTCTGGGAGCAGGGCCTGTAGGGAGGAGAGATGGTCTGGGTTGGGTGGGGAATGGGACCTAGTGGAGCTCAGCTGCCTCCCAGGCCCTGCCCTGATATGTGGCTGCCAGTGGGGGTCAAGGCTGCCACAGCATGAGGCCTTGGAGAAGCAAAGGCAGGTCTGCCCCACCCACTGCACCTCCCAGCACGGTATCCAGCTGCCAGGGCAGGTGCCAGTCCCGGCGTCTTGGCTTCACAAATGCTTCTTAGTTGGCCCTGTCAGGCGAGCAGCCCACACTGACACTCGTCCCTGTCAGTTGCCCCTCTCCCCCAGGGACAAGCTAGAGAGGGCTGTGCCTCCCAGGTCAGGGGGTCACAGGTGACTGCCACAGCTGGAAACAGACCAGTGTGGCAGGAGGGTGGCAGGGATGGAGGGACGGACAGGGTGCTGGCAGCTCTGCTCCCGGACTGGGGCATTCCCAGCTGCCCCTGCCTGACTGCCCCTGCCAATTGCTTTTGCTTTTTTTTTTTTGGCGAGAGGCTGGTGCAGGCGGGCACCACAGAGAGAAGGAGCGTGCACTTCTGGATGGGGCTCGGTCACAGCACAACCCATCCCCTCTTCTCCAGCCTGCGGGGACATGGGGTACATGTGCATCTGGTGTTTTCCAGGCTGCTGGGGCTGGGGCTGAAGGCAGTCGGCCGTGTGGGAGCTGGCTCCCCACGCACGGTGCTAAGTGCCAGGCCAGCCCTCTAGGTCAGCAGAGTGCATGGGGATGCCAGGGTGGGCTGGCTGCTGCCACTCTGACAGGCAGGGCACGTTCTCCCCGGCCGGCCCCCGGGCAAAACGCAGGGG